TCTGTTTCTTCTAAACATGTTAATGTTTGTAAAGACCTACAGCAGCTTCTTTGGCTGAATGAACCTGCTATTCAAAATACTTCTATCTTAATAGTAACACCTGAGATTTGGAATTTTAGCAGATTTGGTTATCAACCTTGACAAGTGGGCAAGTAAAAGGAAGCATCTTTATATTAATTAGTATTTTGGAGTCTACCCAGATACGTTAAAAATTTTATCTCTTGGCATAATTAGCCTGTGGAAAACAATAGTCAAGCCAGGAAAGGCTTCACTTCGATTTTGGTGTCTTTTACTAACAGATTAAAAGTAACTAGATGCCCTTAACAAAAGAGAACCCGACAGCACTATTTTCATCCAACTGTTTTTGTTGACCTCACTAAGCCAGCTATTTTCACTCCCATAGTTACTAAATTACTGGGAGAAAAACTATAGGTGAGCAATTTTGAAACTAGTTCATACATTATACTATACAGAACGAAGCAGGGTGTTTGTTTTCCATGTTGTTGTCGGGTTTAGTATTAGTTTAAACAGTGAAGTTAGGGTTTAAATAAAAAGAGCGACTTCCTGTCCTACACGTTTTCAAATACAAGAGATGTACAAGAAAATGATGTGAGGTTGAGATCACTTTACATGATCATTAATTCCAGAATTCCGGAACAGCACTTTTGATAATTTACCAATAAGTGAAGGTTCAGAAAAAGCAAAGCTAGGTTTATAAATTTACGTGTACAATACTAGAAATGCCAAGAGGTAAGTTGCCATCTGATTAACCTTTCTGATAGCACACTCAACTTGTCTCAGTGTACAAAAAAAGGTTGTGATTTTGACAACTTCAAGGGAATCTTGTTTGACAGACTATTGAATTCAAAGCAATAAGTAAATTGAATTTACTGACCATATTTGGATCGCGGATAGCTTGAATTAATTTACTTGCTCTTGTTGTCTATCCCCAACACGCTAATGAAAATTTGTTTCTCGGTCTCCAGTGTTGATGGACCCAGTGACCAGTTTTTTTTTTTTGAAGAACAGAATTCCACATTTCCACTATCCTTTAGTGCAGTAAAGTGCTTCCTGATTTCACTCTGGTGTAGCCTTGCTCTAGTTGCCCATTCATTTGATCTGTTTGTCCTTTCTAACCTGGTGCTCCCATCTACACCATTTTACTGTTTATGCTAACTTAGTGCCATCTGCAACCTGTATATAGAACTCTAATCCTCAGGCAAGTCATTGATATATATGCTACAGGTCCGCGAGAAACACCACTGATCAAAAATGCATTCCTGTCTCTACTGGTTTTCTGACCTCAACTAATTCTCATTTTTTTCCTCAGATCATCTTTGTTTCTATGATGTCTCATTATTTGATTGCATTAATTGGATTTTATGAAATGTCTTCTCCCTGTCTCCTGTCTTAAACAATGGAGTAACATTTAGGATTTTTTAAGACTGAACCTAGACACTCCAGAATTGTTCCAAAGCAAATCTTGACTCTAAAGACCTTTGGGAAATTATTGCAAAGTCAACAGTTGCTTTTGCATATTTTTCAAATATCTGGAGTTGAAGCCTATCCATTTTCTAGAGATTTGTCAACCTAGAGTTACATTAATTTCTCCATTAAATTTTAAGCTTATTAAATGCACTAAATTCCTCCTCTTACTTTGCAGTACCTTGTATCTGTATTATTTTGTCTACCTGTACTGTGAAGACAAATCTGCAATTTCCTTATTGTCCATTATACCTCACCTACATTTTCTTCTTATGCACCCCAACTGCTCTTTCTCAATATGCCTATTAAAAACTTTCCTGTTAGTTTTTAAATTAATTCTCCAGTTTTTTAATTAGTTATCCCAATTTGTTGGATTTCACTTTTATATTTGCATGAACATTTGCTTCCAGCTTGTTAATCATGATTGCTTAAATAAATAAGTGAAACTTTTGCTGATGAGTTCTTTATTGGATTGTATTGCACTACTTTGTTGAGCATCATCCACTGGTTGTAGGTTTACCTGTTAACCGCTGAGACCAACTTACTTTGGTATCTTTATTTCTTTTCGTTTTGTGATTTACTTTAATTTTAAGCCTTCGTTTGTGGCTTGTGTTTGTTTCTCAAACCCTACTATCAAATTCAATCATCATGTGGTTGCTATTTGTAAGACATTCACTTACAATCAGATTATTAACTAATTCTGCCTCATTATGCATAATTAAATCTGGTTTGCCTTACTCAGTTGTTGGTTTGAAAACACATTGGTGTCATAACTTGAGCTATTTTGCTTTTCCTGGTCTAGGGGAAAATTAAAACCTCTCATTATAACAATGTCATTTGCTTCTCTGATCTTGTACTGTTCCCCTACTCCATCACCAGTGTCTGCAGGTGTGAATCCACAACTCTCATGAGTCTTGGATCCTTTATTATTTATTGCTCTGTTCTCCCATCCTTCTTCCACTGCTAATCATGCATGTTGATATTTCTTTCCATTGTTGTGATTTTGGTTTTAATCAATATTCCTATTGCTCCACTTCCACCAATTTTCTCTCCTTTTGAGAGGATACCGTTGCCTGCAATATTTGTTTTCTGTTTACGTCCAACCTATTCCATGTCTCTGATGTGGGGTTGCCCCAACTTTTTGTGTAAGGGATCACATTTCAGTTTTTTCTCTCAATTATAAAATGGGTAATTAGTTAAGATAATCATTAAAACGTGCCAAGTTATAGAGCCAACTAATAAAACCCTTTTTTCCTTCAGAAATGAAGCTTGAGAGGCTAGGTCCCATGTTCTGATCACCAGGAAAGACGTTCAGAGCCAAGCTAAGGAGTTGAATTGAGTGAACACTGGCTTAGCTTTAGCCTCTGCCCACTTACATTCTGAATTGGCCGCAGAATTCATGCAAGAGTGTAGAACAGGCCTTTCTACCTGAATTCCCCTCTCCAGTCTGGTTTTATGGGAGGAGGAGGAGGGTATGTGTATATCTGGCTCACTCCCAGACTCCGGGTTAAAGCTTATTCTGCCATGAAAAAAACACTTCCCTTGTCTTTCTTACGAGCACTCACATACAACCCTTACTCTTGCTCCTGTTCTCACAGGATCCCCTCTGTTTCTATCTTTCTTTTGCTCGCTTGCCCGCTCCTTTGGCTTGCCTCCCATTATTCCAGCTTACTTGCCTGCTACCCGTCAGATTGCATGTGCGACCTCGATTTGAGCATCTAACTTTATTTCTCTCATACTCTCTGTATTTGTGTCCAGAGCTTTTATTTGAGTTACTTCCTGTGTTACCTGTGCTGTATTCCATATGTTTTGATGTGCACTATACTCTGATCTGTTTATTCTTCTGACAATTAGCGTTAAATTGTAATCTAGAGATGACCGTTCTAAAGGTCTTGCTATTCAGTTCAGTCCCAAGCTGTTATGCCAGATTCACTCTTTGCAGAGCCTCCTCTTTGTTCTAATGTATTTGATTTCCACATGGGCTGTAACAACTTATTCACCTCCCTCCCTTTCTATGTTTTTGAACAGCCAATTTCAGACGTCTCCTGAGCCCTGTTATAACTGCTCAGGGCTTCACGGTGTTACTTCTCTCCTATAAATTCGCAATATTTATATGTTGCCACAACAGCAAAGTACTGGGAATGCTGGAATTCTGAAATAAAAGCAGAAGCAACAAGAAATATTCATCAGGTCTGGTACAAACTGAGGTGGAAAGGGGAAAAAAATTAACGTTTTTTGGTCAATGAGCCTTCTCTCTCCATAGATGCTACCAGACCCACTGAGTATTCTGTTCTTTAGTTTTGTTTCTCCCACCCTTGCCTCTTTTTTGGACTAAAGGTAGTCCTTTATTGACTTATCTTGGTTAGTATTCAGCTGTAGTCTTTGCAATGTCATTCATCATCCCTACAGGTAACAGTTACATCATACGTATTAGGCAGGACCAAATCCTGTGGTTAGTCTTCCATTTGTCTTGTTATACTCAGTTACACATGTCTCTCTCTATCTGCTTGTACTTAATCCTTTTGGGCTTCTTAACTCTACTGTATTTTTCTGACCTCAGAGGATGATTGGCAAAGAGTTCTTTAAAATGCACTGTTTAAGAAAAAAATGGGGGAGAGAAGTAGAATCCTAAAGGTAATTGACACACAGTATTTTAAATACCTTCTGAGATTATTGCCAAATTTCTCCATTTGCTGTGGTTATTTCATTGCTTGTATTCTGGAAAGTTTTTTTTTAAACTTCTCTGTTATATGTTCTGTGTCATGAGTTGGTTCAAGATTTTCTGAATGTTAGTATATTTTATTCGTCTAAAGAAATCTGGATTTCTCAAGTGGGCACCAAGGAATAGTGGCAGACAAGGAAGGGCAGCAACTAAGGACACGGCATCAGCGATTGCTTGCTTTGGGAAAGTGGATAGCAGAAAATCATTCCAGGTATACTTCAACTGAATCAAAAGTTTCAATTTCACCGTATACACAGCACTCCAATTAGCTACAGCCACTGTCAGCCAATGAAAGATGATTTGAATCAATTGTATTTTAACTTTGTTTTGCTTCAAAATTACTCAAAATAAATTGGTGGCTGCTGCTGATGCCTCAGCAAGTTTATCCAATCCTCCCTGAGCCTTAGATCAACAAAATTCTTAGCATTGCGTTATCTGATCTAACTGAGATCTCTCCAGTTGCCTCTGGTTTGCTGAACGTAATCACTGTCTGAAATTGCATGTCTATGGACAGTGCCAAAGGTAGTCAGGAGCCTCAGAAGACCTGTATTCTGTCAAGGGTCAAGCTAGTCCCACATATTAAGGTTGATGGCATTGTACGCCTGCAGGAGGGTAGGAGAAAATGGTTAGAAAGTGGCACTAGCCAGGCCAAATATTAAAAGCTTGTGTGCGCAAATTACAGCTTCAGATTTGTGATGGTGAGAGATTTTTGGGCATGACAAATTAAAATTAGATGCTTTAACTTGTTGATTAATGCTTTGTAACTGGGGAGCAGATTTTTATTTTCCCAATCATTGTTGTAATGAATCACCTGAAGTTGGACTGCTCCGTACAGGTTCGGAATTGAGAACCTAATTAATTTGTTTAAATTTTGCATTCTGTACAATGTTGCCTGTCATTCCTTTAATGTATTTAGTTGTGGGATGATAGTGAAGTTGTTGTAAGGTCATGGAACTACTAATCCCAAGGTCCAAGCTAATGTTTTGGAAATTCAGATCCCTTGATGGCAACAGGTGGAGTTTAAAATTTGTTAATTAAATTTGGAATTGAAAGCTAGCCTTAGTATTATCGAGGACCAGAAAAATAGTGAACCTGTTGTCACGGTCACTTGTCCTCTGGGCAAGGAAATGTACCATCCTTATGCTGTTTGGTATACACTTAATTTGATACCAAAGTTAATATGAATGACTCTTAACTGTCCTCTGAAATTATCTGGAAAGCCACTCACCTCCGGGGCAGTTAAGGATGGGCAAGAATTCCATGTTCCATGAAAAATAGGAAATATATTACCATTATGAGTTCTTTTTTCCTCAGGTTTACTATCTTTCAAATGAGTAAAATGACTGGCTTCAATGATCAAGAAGGGCAGACTTTTCAGGTGAAGCCAGACTTTTCAGGTGAAGCCAGACTTTT